GAAGCGAGCCATCCTAGATCACCTTACTTCCAGCAATCTGATATCTCCAGCTCAACACGCATTTCTCCCTAACCGCTCTTGCGTGACAAGCATGCTCGTGTTTATTGACAGCTTAACCCAAGCGAAGGACGAAGCACTCATCGGATGCCATATTTTTTGACTTCTCAAAAGCTTTTGGTAGGTTCCCACACGTCCCGCTGCTCCACAAACTCGAGTCTTACGCGATTCAAGGGAAAATCCTTCGCTGGGTCAAGGCGTTCCTATCACACAGATCATTTCGAGTGAGAATAGGCTCGACCTACTCTTCTCCAGCGCCAGCCTCAATTGGAGTACCCCAAGACTTCATCCTGGGACCAGTGCCGTATCTGATCTTCGTCAACGACCTTCCAGATGTTCTTGCATATCCGTGTCTACTTTTTGCGGACGACTTGAAATCCTGGAGTTGCAATGCCAGTGCCCTCCAAAAGGATGTAGACGCTGCCAAGCAGTAGTCGTTGTACTGGCACCTTCCTCTGAATGATGAAAAGTGTGTCCATGTGTCGTTTGGAGGGGGTTCAGCGAATGCCTTTGTTATGCATGGTGAAAAGGGACCAGAAAACATCATGAGGATAGATGCCAAAAATGATTTAGGCATCTGGGTCTCCTCAAACTTGTCTTTCGCACTACACCATGAGAAATCGGCGCAAAAGGCATTCGCCGTTTTACGGATGATCCGACGTACCTTCTCCCGTATTATTCGCATGGACTTCCAAATACTCTATGGTGCCTACGTCAGACCGCTCCTGGAGTACGCCAACGAAGTTGTCTACTCAGGACGTACGAAAGACGTTACCCTCGTTGAGCGTGTCCAGCGGGCCGCCACGAGAATTGTTGCCGGCCTCAAGTCCGTGGACTACGAAATGCGTCTCGCGATGCTTGATCTCTTTCCCCTGGAGTACCGTCGCCTCCGAGGGGACCTAATTCTTACCTACGCCTTGTTTGAACAAAGCTTGGCAAACAGGTTTTTTGCCGTTGACCCAGCAAACACCCGGCGGGAACATAGTATGAAAATCTTCAAGCTCAGGGCACACACATTCATTAGACAAAACTTTTTTTCATTTCGGGTAGTAGCTGCGTGGAATGACCTTCCTCCGACGGTTGTACACGCTCCTTCTCGAACCCAATTTAAAGCACTATTAGGCATTTATTTATGCGAATCCTCGCGCTGGCGAGCATACTGCCCCGCGCTGAGAACATAAAGAGCAGTGCTACACCCTTTTTTCACTTGTGCCTTTCAGGTGAACGACAGCCACTGACCGACAAGAACAAAACCGACCCGGGAGACTTGGGCAATAGCCTCGATCCTGTGTATCAATCCGTGAATCCGTGAATCCGTGAAGGCCTTATGTGAATGTTTCTTTGGTTCATACTATGGTTTCAGAAGACCTTAGGGTGTGAGTCTAAGGATCGAGTGAGTACACATGCAGTGACATGTCAAGCTTTGGGATAAAAGCTTTCTTTCGACACACATCTGGAGCAAACTGCACAAGTCCATTAGCAATGGACCTCGCCTTCATTCATCAAATCAGGTTTCCGCGAATGACCTTGAGCCGCAAATTCATTGGCTGGGAATTTACTGCCTTGAGTCGTTCACCACGCTGGTATCATGTCGGAAGTCTCACAACTCCCTGCTTCCGTAAATTTCCCCGAGGAAGAAGTCGTAATACTTGAATATTGGGAAAAGCAGAAAATATTTCAAACATGCTTGAAACAGTCGTCCAATCGGCCGCGCTACACGTTTTATGATGGACCGCCCTTTGCAACTGGTCTCCCCCATTACGGACATCTCTTGGCTGGTACCATTAAAGATATCATTCCACGATACGCCCATCAATCTGGTTTCCATGTTGACCGTCGATTTGGGTGGGATTGTCATGGCTTGCCTGTTGTATGTTCTGTTTGTTATTTTGAAGTCACGTATAGGAATATGAAGTTGACAAGGAGTATGGAATAACCGGACCTGATGATGTCGCTAAAATGGGTATCAAAGCGTACAACGATAAGTGCAGAGCAATCGTCATGAAGTACAGTGAACAATGGGAGGTTTGTTAGTCGTCATTTTCTCTGTATCTATAAGACACACAGCACGTGACAAGGCGGCTTGGACGTTGGATAGATTTTGAAAATGATTATCGAACAATGTATCCATGGTTTATGGAGTCCGTCTGGTGGGTTTTCAAGCAACTCTTTGACAAGGGCCTTGTGTATCGCGGTGTGAAAGTAATGCCCTTCTCCACTGCCTGCGCAACCCCGCTATCTAACTTCGAAGCTGGCCAGAACTATCGTGATGTGCAGGACCCTGCAAGTAAAATTCGAACACGCCTATTTGATACCTACAGTCATTGTGAGCTTCCCCTTAGATGATCATCCTGACGTGGAACTGGTTGCATGGACAACTACTCCTTGGACTTTAGTGAGCAATCTTGCTCTTTGTGTGCATCCAGATAAGGAATATGTGAAACTTTATGGTAAGTGCAAGTTTGCGTTTGTGCACCTTCTTTCAATTAGTACATTTGCCGGAACAAGCTCTGTGAGGTGCGCAGTAATGCAGCGTATTTGATTTCGCCTTTGTGATGTGTATAAGTCTGTGCAGCGCACGTTAAACTCAAGGACACGCGGGTTTTATCCCCGAGCAACGCAATTAGCATTCCATCCTCACTAAACTGCAAGTGCATGCGGAAGGAGCTCACTGTTTAGCCTACCAGGAACTTGACGATGACGGACACTTTGACGGACCGTCTCAGATGGTCTTTCAACGATCTGTCGAATTAGGACGGGATGACGTCCCTTGGTAGCTGGTCGGCCATGAGAGTATAAGTAAACATGTGCGCATCATCATTATTACCGTCGACAGCACCGCCCATGTTTGACACTGGTGCTTCTTCGCTGTACAGCCATAATTCTTATGACAGCCTTATGTGGATCGGGAAGGGACAGTACTAACCTATCAGCATTATCCTCAAATGCATACATCTCCAGGCACTCGATGAGGTACCCCGGATAGAAACAGACATGGTTGCTGACATCGATTAGCATCCGTACTATGCAGCAGTTTCCAGCCATGCTCATTGCAAGCACACGGACCCCATCCTCGAAGACGGGCGTCACTGTCAGTATCCATACTTTTCGTGACACTTCATACCCTTCCACCAGGTCAAGGGTTATCCACTGCTGTTTATGCCACTCCAAATTGGGGATGGAAAACACTGAGCTCTTCTGTGAAGGATGGCTTGGCATCCGCAATACATGGGCGTCGAGATAGCTCAGTGATTGAGGCGCCAGCCTACAGACTGAAAGGTCCCCGGTTCGCGCCCGACCTCGATTGAACTCCCAGTTACACTGCTGAGCATTTTCCTTCTAGTTGTTTCTTTGGGAGTTCTACGGCACAAGCCCACATGAGCTATCGTACTGAAACAACGCTTGTCGAAGACCTGAAGGCTTTTCATTTCCGCTGAACTAAGAAGCAACGTCTCATTCCTACTACAAAACAAAAGGGGCGAGATGGCTCAAGTGGTTAGAGCGCAAAATTACTGACCGAAAGCTCTGTGGTTCGAACCCGACCTCTGCCTCTCGACTTCTTCTGGCTAGGCTTGGGCAACCTGACAGTATTCCAGCCCTCGTGCTTCCTTCGGGTAGAATGGCAGCCAGGCACCGGAGGGTGTTACGGCTGAAAGATTTTTTCTATTACATACTACAAAACAGCCAGTGTTGTTACCTGATACACACGTTCAGCTGTAATACCCTTTCAGTGCCTAACTTCCATAACGCCGGAAGGAAGCACGAGAGTTGGGATACTGCCAGGTTGTCCAATCTTAGACAGAAGTCGGGATGCAGAGGTCGGGGTATTCCGCTGTGCCGCCATAGATGTTCCAGATTAGCAAAAGTGATTCGAGCCTTAATGAATTAACCTCCTCTGTCACAGTAGAACGGGTAACTACGGAGCTTGCAAGATAAGTAAAATGCCACGCCTAGTGCTTCTCCTTGGGTTGCAACTGGTCTGTTGACTGCATTTCCGAGAGCACTTTATGGGTACAAGTCGCATGCCAAAGGACCGAAAGCTTTGGTTAGTTAATTGGAAAACCCTGTGTCATCCATTCGAAGACTAAAACAATGTCGTCTGCATATTTCAGGTCGACAGGGTTTTCCTGACCACCTATATCGATCAGTTGTAACATCATTCGGTGCCTAGCTGTCATGCCACCCAGAGGAAGCACGAGGGCTGAGATGCTGCTAGACAGGGGGAGCGAGAGGCGGAGACCGGGTTCAAACGACGGACCTTCCGGTCAGTAGATATGCGATCTGACCACCGACCCATCTCGCCCGTAAGGCGATAAAGGATGTGTGACGCCGAGTCCCGTTAAGAATGAGGTCAAGCTAGTATCCGTGATTAACGGCTCCACCAGGGTGCACGTTCGGAAATATGTACTATTTCCGTTCCCCCAGTGGTCTATGACAATATTCTTCCAAACGGAAAAATGACAAAGTAACTACTTAGTGGAAACTTCACCCGGATCCTCGACTAATGTCGGTAAGAGGTCTGAGATCGCCCCAGAAGCTAAGTGACGCTTGAGGAAACATATTCAGTCGAAAACTTCGGAGGCCATGGGGAGTTGCAGATTTAACTTCCAGGGTTTAGGTGCAGTTCGAGAATTCAAACGAGTGATGACAATTGTTCAGAGTGCTTTAACTAGCTCTCCAGGTGTCCTTCTTTATTGAAGAAGGTGGCGTCAGTTTGATCTTTAAACGTTTCCCTCACTGGCGTTTTTTGGTGACGGGTCGCACGAACTGGCTGAAATAATTTTATGGTATTTCCGGCATTTTTCACTTCTTCCCTTTTCCTTAGCCCTCCATCTACAGCAGTTGACGCGCATGCTGAATTTCATCTGGCCTCTAATAATTAGCCGGGCTGAATTATGTTCGGGACCGGTGGGAACAATTTTCACATTTAAGCAGCGCCGGTGTTCTGTCTTAGCTAATTCTGTGGATCGACGTATCACTGGCGGAACCCCGGACAATGTACAGGGGTGCGGTGATCTCATCCCAGGAGAAATTGATGAGACAGGTGCGCAACATACCTTGCGTCTCTCTTGCGTCGTCACTTCATATTACTGCACATTCATATTCTGGCACGAACTTCAAGCTGGTTGCGGACACTTTCTTGGAGTGTATTTACAAATTCGTAAAACTTAAATAGTTTACTCTAAGCCGCTAAAGTAGCGCCGTTCTCTTTCGACCAGTTGTTTGAACAAAGCTTCGTGTTTGCGAACACAAATCATGCTGACTGACTTGGCACCAATGGCGGGTTATTCCAAGACCCACACATTGTTGATACTTGGAGGTGGCCAAATGTCATTCCTTGAAGCCACAAGAAAAGTGACCCAGTGAGTTATCAACTGACTACCAGTTATTTAGCTACACACCATTTGCACCATGTTTGTCACAGCTGCTGCGGGAGATGGTAGTTGCTAATGCGACTGAGTTTACTGGTCGAGGCTTTCACACAATACTGTCAAATCATTAGCTGATCAGCTGGTAGTCATATCCACTGTGAGCGCGTCTGGAAAGAATGGCTCGGCAGAGAAAGCAAAAATCTGGCGTATTCAGCGCAGATCTAACTAGCGTAGCTTATGGAGTATATACTCATGAGTAGCGCTCCCTGCGCCGCCGTAAATTGGTGGAAAACAGTTGTGTCAGAAACCTGGTTGCTCTGGGAGCACGATACTGCTTGAGTGGAGACGAATACTCGGGCACTTCTGAGACAGAACGGGGTTCCACATTCACATTCCTCCTTTCTGTTGAATGCAAGGATTCCGGGTTGGAGATAGCAGGTGGACAACTGAATTGATTTTCGAAGTGCTGTACCTAACGATCCAAACGTTCTCCGTTGTTGAATATCGGAGATCCATTTTGGTCCCTGATGGTCTCACTTACTAGAGGCTTCCGAGGACCAGTCGAACAAATCGCGTAAAACAGCCTGCGGATGTTTTCCGAGTTTTTTGCATCTTTCTTCCTTCGGCCACTTGGGTCCACCAAGCTTCTTAGTGTGCTTGGATATTCAGTTTCACTTGGCATCGGATGTGTCGAGTTGAGTTGTGGTTGAGGTCTGAAGGAATCCAGCCTCGGGCCTCCAGCAAAGACACGGTTGATGTTGGCAGGCTGGTACCGCTGGCAGCAGTTCCGGCTTTGAGTAGTGCTTTGAATATCTGTTTCCAACGACCGTTAATACCTGACATAGGACCATCTTGGGGCGTTCTAGGAGCCGATTGCGAGAGGTTTTATTTCTGGCTTCACCATCTTCTCAAGAGCTAAGTGACGTCTGCGCGTTTTGCGTAAACCTGAAAAATCGATGGAAAATAGAGCACAAGTGCATGATGAATGTCCAGAAAGAGTGGCTGGCGATGATCGACCCTCGCCACCGGTAGCTGACGGTTGCGTAAACCTGAAAAGTCGATGGAAATAGAGCACAAGTGCATGATGAATGTCCAGAAAGAGTGGCTGGCGATGATCGACCCTCGCCACCGGTAGCTGACGGCGGTGAGGTCTATGTGGACTCGTGGCCACTTCGTTTGGGGGCACCACGTTGTCAGACGATTTCCACTGTTCTCATAAATTGGTATGGCAAAGGCACAGCCTTTGGTCAGCACACGCCTGAAGCGGATGCTTTCTGCTCTCTGTGTGTCCGTCCAACCAACGACCACCAACAAGTTGGAACTCACCAGCGCTTAGTCTACTTACCTGAGCGTTCGTGTCACCAGTAACCACCACTATATGTGAACTTTTAGTCTCTTGTGAAAGAGCACCCATATAAACTCTGACAGATCCAGAGCTACAGACCCTTGGAGCGTACGTAGACAATAAACAAAGTGCGATGGGTTTCAGTTTCTCGGGATTCCTTCACAAACTTTGCCAAACGAGCTGCGTGGGGTTGACTATCCGCGGATATCCAACCAAATAGGTACACCCACACTCGACCGTTCAGTACAATACTCACTCCGGCATGTCCAACTGCAGCGGTGCCGCATCACTAGAGGTACGCGGCCGAAACCTGGAAGAATGTAAGGGTGAAGTTAGTTTAATTAAAGCACTTGCGTTCCGTATTCTTGTTTCTGTCAGATAGCATGCATTGCAGAGGGAATCCAGCTTACGAGCAAGAACCACCTATTGTCCTGCTTGATTGAGTGTGCGAACATTAAAGGCAGATTAGTAGACCAACTTTCGGGATTCACACACAGACTTCGAAGTGTTTACGGCTGTTGTTCAAGTCGGGTGCACGGATTATAATGTATAGCGAACCCAGCAGTCAATCCTAGGGCTTGAACCTGCGGAGCGAGTGCTCTAATTGGGTAGGGTGGGGTGGGGTGGGTTACGTGGGTTGGTGGGAATACGGCAAAGTGTGAGAAAGGAGACGTCAGCAGTAGGATGTTTTTTCCCGCGCTGCTATTTTCACGAAGTATGGCGACCCGGCTGGTGATACCACCCGACGGCCGATGTTGCATGAGAGTATCTGGAAAGCAACTCATACATATCCAGATCGGCCCAAAATGTCAGGTCACCACATGAAAAATCGGTCCAGCAGGATACCCATTAGATAATTGTCATCATCGTCATCATCATCATCATCATCATCATAAAGACAGGTTAATCTGTGTTGGCACTGATGCTTCACTGCTGTAATTGACCTGGTGTTATATGGAGGTCTTGGGAATCGCTCCTTTCTCATGAGTTCCAAACAAGGTGAAGTTTGTACTAGTTAATCTCCAGATGGTTCAGGTTTGAATTTACTGACAGGAACGTGGTTCTAAACTTACCACCAACATCTCCATTGCTCTTATCTGGGCTTGGGCACCCTGGCGGTATCTCACCCCTCGTGCATCCTTCTGGTGGCATGGTAGATATATATATATATATATATATATATATATAAACTGAATACCGACCCAGAGAAACAACAGCGTACGATATCGGCAAGGGTCTGCGTTGAAACCATGGGAGGAGATCAGCTAATTTGTCTCTGTCTGGTCAAAAGACCGCGAGGCACACACTAACACAGCCCACCGGTTATTTTACAGTCTCCCAAATGTTTCTGGCAGCTGTGAAATGCAAAATAATTTACTGCTTATTGAAACAAGCACGTGCGGCTCATTTATTGCTATGGTTCTTTGTTTTGTTGTTCATGCAGACAAGCAGCTGAAGCGCACATTCATTTTGATGAATGCTCGTCTCCCCATACTGTATCGGGATACGGGATATGAAATCATTGAAACGTGAGTACTGGTGTTAGTCTCTATCGTTTATATTTCTCAAATACCAAATCGCTTTGTTGCCTTTCAGTGTATTAAAAATCAAACGGATCTTGCTGGGTTTTCCGATCACGTAAAAACCCAATGACGGCAGGTTCAATCGTCGGCACTCTGCGACACGTTAGGACTGTTATTGTGGGCCGACCATCGAAGAAGGTGGATGCACGATCGCTCGGTCATGCGGTCGATAGGTTTTTCAGGCCACTAACATCTAGCCGCGTCTGTCAGAGCTACGGCCCCTTGCACCAAGAGCATGCAAACTCAGTTGACGTATGACAGAGTAGTAATCCAATCTGAATCCAAGTTCATTCACTTGTCTAGTCATTGAACCGATTAGCATCGCATGCAACTGACAATTACGCTCACAAACACCAGTCTCCCTGTTCTCCTTATCCTCGATGATACGTGTTTTTTTACTTTAGCAATCCGGCCTTGCACTGAGTCACGTATGCGTAAAAGGCTTTCAAATGCAACGTCTGCATTGGAGTGGCGTATCACCCCCGCTTATTGTCTCCCCATATCTCTCGGCTCTCAGTATGACAAATTTTTGGGAGTGAACATATCTCCAATAACCATACCATGATCCCTAAGGAGAATTTACCATATGCATCAAACTAGGTCAGTGAACAAACCGAATCCCAACCAAAGGGTTTCCAACGTCTCCTGCATCTTTCCAGTTTGAAATTTCGAAGTTGTTGTGCAACACCGAACGTGTCCTCACTCCGTCCAGCATGTGAAATATTGAACTATACGACGGCTAATGCACATCGTCTAGTTGACTACTTCGACTGCACGCCACAAAAACGGAGTGATCTGGAACGGGTGCCGTCACTTTGTATGCATGTGGTTTATCATGTGATCTTGGAGCAGATCCTCTGTTGTTGACTTTCACCTGAAATCCAACCTATATTGGGCTGCATGCACTTGTCCGTAGGTGAGAGAGATCTACGGCAGGGAGGCATCAGTGTTGAACACTGTCGATGATGATGAGAGAGATCCTTCTTTAAGAAGTGAGTTAACCTTGGCCAGGTTGGCGGGTGGACCTCAGCCTTCTTGCGGTAAAAGCCCATCTAGTTCGGTTGGAGAATTCGACCATTGTAATCGTCGGCTGGGCGGTTCACCACTTTTACATCCAGTAGTTCAACGCCGAGTCTCTGATTAAAAATAAAACTGGAACACTATTTCCACTGAGTTTCTATTGCGCGGATGCATTCCGATATCCGTAGATTGGGATAATTCCGTTCCAGGCAGTGGCCACAGTAAAATTAGCTCTCGGTTTTGGGAGCACACGAAAGACGGATTTTTTTCTGTATCATCCCGCACATCCTTTTTCTCATTCGAAGTTATTCAATGGTAGAGTCCAGTGGTAGTCTCTAGAGAGCGTGTTTTTCTCCGCCACATGTGAACGATTTGACCGCGTCAAGGAAAAGTAAGGTTAACTAGGAATCAGTGCGCGTTAAACCGTACTTTGGTGCTTTACACAAGTCTTGTACAAGTTGACCAAGTAGTCTGCTGTAAGGCTTTAGTGTTTAATTAAGTGGGTTTCATGAACCAACCAGGAAATCATGTGAAATGAGGCGTTTCCTGTCCGGAAGCCTCCGATGGTTGGGTCTTGATTTCGTATGCCATTGGTGTTTACCTCATTCATTTAGCGTTCTAACAAAGACAGTTGAAAGACGGATTTTTTTCTGTATCATCCCGCACATCCTTNGAACCGATTAGCATCGCATGCAACTGACAATTACGCTCACAAACACCAGTCTCCCTGTTCTCCTTATCCTCGATGATACGTGTTTTTTTACTTTAGCAATCCGGCCTTGCACTGAGTCACGTATGCGTAAAAGGCTTTCAAATGCAACATCTACATTGGAGTGGCGTATCACCCCCGCTTATTGTCTCCCCATATCTCTCGGCTCTCAGTATGACAAATTTTTGGGAGTGAACATATCTCCAATAACCACACCATGATCCTTAAGGAGAATTTACCATATGCATCAAATTAGGTCAGTGAACAAACCGAATCCCAACCAAAGGGTTTCGAACGTCTCCTGCATCTTTCCAGTTTGAAATTCCGAAGTTGTTTTGTAACACCGAACGTGTCCTCACTCCGTCCAGCATGTGAGACATTGAACTATACGACGGCTAATGCACACCGTCTAGTTGACTGCTTCGACTGCACGCCACAAAACGGAGCGATCTGGAACGGGTACCGTCACTTTGTATGCATTTGGTTTGTC